AAAAAAAAAAAAAAAGAAGCAGGCCACCTGAGGCATACAAAGAATTCTACGCTCATACAAAAAATTCTTAGCTCAGAGTTGAACAAAACTTGTTTTTGGTAGTTTCAACCTTCTGTGTCTTTCAGCAGTGTGTGTGTGTCCCCTCTCAGCAACTGCCTCCTAAAACCTAATCCTTTTAATACTGAGTTCCAAGGAATATTAAAAGTTAAATGAATTTGAGGGGCACAGTGAGTTAGATGAAGTAAAACAGGTTTCCTTTTTAAAGGGTTTCTTGGAGGACCATGTGCACTGTGGAACTCTCGGCAAGGATCTAGAATGCTGCGTTTCCCAAACGCATTTGCCAAAGAGTCTTTCTCGTTGAGCTGTCCCAGTTCTAATATTCCATAATCAGGATCTGGGAAATACTCCACTATTACATGTTGGCTGAATAAAACATCTGTCTTCATTTGCACAGTCAAGGTAAGGAAACCAGTCTCCCCAAACTTTGCTTTCTCTCAGGTTTCTGCGCTGGTGGCACTGAGAGGAGGAGAGCCTTCCCCAGGTGTAAGTGACAGTACTTCTGCCTTTGAGTGTAAGAGGGTCAATCTCAACACTGCCATTCCTCCTGTGGAGACCTGCAGGTGGCTTCCAGCCCTATTCCCCACCGATGAAGAACTAATCATGAATAACTGGAATGCCACCTTGGGTGCATTGCCTAACACCTGCTTTAGGGCCTTTGAGCAACCCAAAAGTGACTAACAGGAGCCACTGAGCACCAAGAATCTATGCAGGTCACATGAAGTTCTCAAAGCCTAGGATGGCTGCTTCTAGAGTACCAGCAAATAAGGTATAAAGAAAGTAAAAGATCTCATGGAGCCCTGAGAACTGTGGTGAGAGGTTGGGGACTTCCTTCAATGGTTGGAGTTAGGTCTTCCCGCAATTTGCTTTCTGGGTAATGCAATGGGTCCAAATACATTTCTGGTGGTCTGTGATGGCGGATTTCTACTATTTCCCTTTAAAGACTATAGTCCATCTTTTCATCTTTGCAATACCATTCCTCCAAAGGACACTGTCCCTTAATACCTCCATTGGGTAAAGTTCCTGAACTACATTTCCCATTGTTCTCAGCGTTTATCTGAAAGCTGGTCGATTATATGTACATACTCCTATTGCTCAGTTCAGGCTGACCTGGCCTCAGTTATGGACAAAGAGTTTATATGATATGCCTTTTTATTTGACTTCTTGGTGCCACATTTTCCTCTACCCACCAGTCTAAACTGAAACTCTTCTAGTCACTTCAGGATATTTTCTTTCTAGGCTTTCTGGCTTTCAAGTTTTGGTGAGGCTGCCCTCCCAGCCAATTCCTGACATCCTGTGATATCTGGCCTCCAACTCTGGGCCAACTTTTCTGAATCACCCTCACATTCCAACTCTGCAGTTTGGCCTCTGAAGCAACTTACCGGCAGGCTTTCTTTCTCTTCCTTCTGTATTCTCAGCAGCATTCTGTGTTCCCCATCCCCAACTACACCCTCACATATATTATGTCTATTCTTCCTTCTTGACATGAATTTTTGGCCTATCTTTCTATCAATTATACTATCAGAAGACTGAAAGCATTTATAGGCAAATAACTGTCCCACATAGTGGTAAATACACATACACAGTTTAGATGAAAGGGAAAGTTTTCTTTTAGGTAAACTGACAAAAAGTATTAAAAATCCAGGCCAGGCTGTTTGTTTCTTCCAGTGATTTATAGAACTCATTATAACCTCAAGCCTCAAACTTCAGATACATGACACCACACAGAATTCTCTGGAAATCTTTTTCTGGTCCAGGATGGACTCCAGGGGCAAAATGCCTCGGGGGAGGGAATCAATCAAGAATCAGAACTCTCTGGTGGCTGCTAGAATTAATCTGGCCTCTCAGAGACTTTTTAATGGACAGCATGAAATGGAATGAAGTCCTCTCAGGGTCAATTCTGTTTTAAAATGGCATTAGGAACAGATCTTTTAGACTTTGGGTTTGATTTACATCATCTGGCTATTAAAAGTATATAAACGTACAATATCTACTGAGATATAAAAATGGGTTGACTTGCATTGAAATTAGGAATCACTATTACTAACTTTAAAATCTGCTTAACTAATTCAAAGTCAGATATAATTTTTAAATATAGTTCAAGGATACCTATTTCTAAGTTGTTAAAAAGTTTCTGTGTTCAGATTCTTAACTATCTTCAGGAATTCTAATCCTAGGCTCCTTTTAATAATTTATTTTTGGAAGCCAGGATTAAGAGCAATCTTCTCGAAACAAAGTCTCATTGTCTAAAAGGGACAACTCTTATAATTTTTTTCCTGACATAGTTGATCTTTAACTTAAGTAGTTCATGAGATATTTACTTCTTTAGAGAAATAAATAAAGCAGTAAGGGTAAGTTGCAAAGCCCAACATAGTTTAAAGGACTGTTTTCATGATATTTTACCATGCTGGAGACAGGAAATAACAGTTATCTCATAAAGCTTTCTGCTTTATTTCCTTTTGGTTCTTCTGTACTAAAGTTCAAATAAATTTGGACCTTTATTCAAATGTTTAGATATTTATCCAAATCAAAACATCATGTAATAACATCTACGAATGAAAAATATATTTCTGAGAAGAATCAGTAACTATCATCCTCCATATTCCCAAGTCTAGTTTTTTAATTATGTTGACTATTATAAGAACCAACTAAGTATGATCTTGACAATCACAGCATAAAATTGTAAGCATTTTCAAAATGACATTTGTGAGAAGACTGTGACATTAATTCAGTGATCATACTCTCAATGACAATGTCTTTCACGTATATTGTAAAAATATAAAATGATTCTATTTGAGACAAAAAAGTGTATTTTTCATGTGTACTCAACATTTTGAATAGCACTGCCATTTTTGACATAAGAACACTAGCATTTAAAATTGGCAAAAGGGGGCCGGCCGAGTGGCGCGATGGTTAAGAACTGGCTTGGGACGCCAGAGGGTCCCGGTTCGGAACCCACATATGAGGGCCAGTGACACTAGCTCTCTACAGCTAAGATGCTGAACAACAGCTCAACCTGGAGCTGGGCTGCTGTGAGTCGCCGGCGACGGTAGGCTGCAGCCCCTGTGGCAGTGGGTTGCCATGGGCTACCGTATGTAGCCAGAAACCAGCGTAAGCGGCCAGCAGCCGCAGTGAG